ATCCACACGCCTCCCGCCCGGCGCTCTACGGGAAGCCGAGGAGGTCAGCCCCCCCCAAAATACACGCCCTCGAGCCCGGCGTTACCCGCCACCCAGGCTGTTGCCCGAACCCGGCTCAGCGTGCTCTCACCGCAAAGCTCCTCAGCCACTCGTCACTGCCCGTCCCCCTCAGCTTCAACCTCGCACTCAGCGGGGAGGCCCGAGAACAGCGCGGGCGCAGGCCCGCCGAAGCTGACTGGCAGCTCCCCTTCAGTTCACGAAGCGGTCGCAGGCCTTAGTGCCCAGACTGGGAAGGAGGGAGGGAGGGAGGGAAACTCCAAGGGGGAAAGGGGAGGGGGGAAGATGGAGAAACCGTCTCCGCCGCCTCTACCGCCGCGGTCGCTTCTCTGTTACCCGGGAAATCCCGCCCACTCCCCAGGCCCGCCCCGCCGAGGGAAGGCTCAGCTTCGTTCAGCCACAGGACACAGTCTCCGTTCATCAAAAGCTTAGCCAATCACTGCACCCCGCCTGCCCACGTTCCGCCCCTTCCCCCTCGGCTAGAGGGGAGGGGGAGCAGCTCACCTTCTCCACGCCCCTATTGGCGGGGAGCTTCCCTAACTCAACCCCGCCTATTGGAGGTGGCTCGCTGAATCCCACCCCCAAACCACAACACTATTGGCGAAAACTGGGAAGCTCTGCACGTTTCATTGGGGAACTCTACAAATCCCGCCCTGTACCGCCTGAACCACAGGCCTAACAAATCGGCTCCCGCCTCCGCCGGTCTTTGCATTGGAAGCTACCTCTGGCTCTCCCACTGCCTCAGGAAGGTAAGTAACTGAAGTGGGGTAAAATGTCCGTAAGTGAAGCAGGCCCCTCCCACCACACTGGCGGGCCAGGCCCCGCCCCTAGAAGGCGGATTGGCTAGTTCTGCGCCGGTCGCCCCCTCATTGGACGCGACTCCCGTCCAGGAAGGAGCCGATTCCGCCCCGTGAGAGAAGGCTGAACCTCAGCAGTCCTTTTGTGGAATGTTTACTCTAGAGACTGGATCGCAGAGTTCCAAGGCCCGGGACTGAGGGGTGCGCGGCGCAGCAGCGAGACTCAAGACACTGGGATTAGCAGGGGAAAGGCAGAGGCACTGCCAACCCGAAGGACTCCCTAGCAAAACAATGAACAAGAGCCTTATCCTTCCCTCCCAGTCATGTTTAAACTTAGGCGTGCTGCCTTCCCGTGAACTCCAGTATCTGGAGCGACCACAGCTCCGTTCAGCAAGCAGAATACAGAACTCAGGTTTAGAGCCCGAAGCTGAAAAATAACCCCTGGGGCTGCCGCCCCGCCGCTACGGGAAGGCTGCACACTGCTTGCTCTCTAAACCTGCAGGCTCAGGAGGGCGGGATCACCAACAGGGCGGCCCCAGGAATCCGCTGCCCTGCAAGCCTCCAGGAAGCAGTGGGGAGGAGAAAGGCATTGACGATTTCTCAGGCAGATCGAGAGGCACTTAGAGCCAGAGGCAAAAATATCAAGAGACCATGTAGAAACGAGTGTGCACCACAAGAAAGTGTGCACAGGCAAGCGCCCGTAGTCTCAGCTCCTGAAAAGGTTGAGGTAGGAAGATTGATGGCGCCCAAGGGTTCTGAGCCAACTGGGCACCAAAGTGAAACCTATTTTTTTTTAAACTCTGTTCCTCTGCCAGAGCATTTTGGTGGCAGTCTCTAGGCATTATCTCGGTAGGGAAGAACGCCACGAACATATATGGTGCTTGCGATAACTAGTTGCTTTATTTAATCACCAAACGGGACGTGGGCCCGACCTGGCCTTGCTTTGGGGGCGCTCGCGCAGCGCCGGCAGAAGGGGCGGGCCCAGTGTTCCCGCTTTTTCCCGCAAAAAGGATCTTTCCAGACCTAGGTCCACAACGGTCCTCCCCAGATGATAAAACGGAGATGGCCAGAAACTAGCGCTGGCAACAGGTGGCTCTGACTCCAGGGATGGCCTCGAGCCACGAGGCTAGGGCAGTGAGTTGCGAACTCCGCGAGTGGCCGGCAGGTGGGAGCACCCTCCCTTTAACTGAGCCAAGCCCGGGCCGAGCCAAAGCTCTAAAAATAAGTCAGACGGACGCAACGGGCCAAACCGCTCGAACTAATGTGGACGCGGCTCCCTGTGCTGGCTTAAGGCCACCTTCCTCCCCTCGACTGCTCGCACACGGCGCGTAGACTCCAAAGCCACGCAAAACCCACTACAGAGGATGCCTCCGCTACCCCTGGCCGCGGGGCACGAGCGGCCCTGGATCGTGAGTGCCCAAAGTTCCTACCCTAGGCTGTCAGGGTTTTGGATATGATCACCTTAGGACACAGCCAGCGTTCTCAAGGTTGTCAGGTTTAAACTAAGGGACGCCAAGAAGCAGGACAAGCTACGGCATGTGAACTTCAGTTCACGGACCGGGTCAGAGCCACCCCTCTTTTCCATGCCTGCAAAACCCCAGGGCTACGCGTCCCCAAAATCTACTCCACACCGTTATGACCTAGCTTCACTCCAGGGCTCTGGATCTCAGGACTTGGAAGAACCTTTGTGTGCCTCCACGGTGTTCCCCCGCCCCCGCCAAGGGCGCCGAGCCCCATACTTCCGGGCGGGAGGGCAGTTGCCGGAGCTGGGCGGGCCTCACCCATGTGCCGAGCGCGCTTCCGATCGCGGGAGGGGGTGGACTTCCCCTCAAGGTACGCTTCGCCGGAGGGGGGCGGGACTCTCCATTCCACCAATCAGAGGGAGGGGCCGGACCTTGCGCCTGACGTCAGGCGCATGGCTCCTCTCCTCCCTTCACCCCCCCCAAAAAATCCTAGCAACTTAAACTGCAGCCCGCCCCCCCGTTAGGCGGAGCTCGGGAGAATACTACCCAATCCACATCCAAGAAGGGAAAAGGAGTCTCGCCCAACCAGTGGAAGACAAGAGGAGGCGGAGCCTCTGGGGAGCCTGAGGTGGGTGGAGGAGAGGAAGTGGCCCCGCCCCTCAAGTCCCCTTTGGGCCGCTTGCACAAGCCGCCGGCAGAGCAGATAGTAAACAGTTTAGGATGGCGCGGAGGCTGGTGGGCCCTTCAAGACCTGGCCGGATCCAGCTCCCTCAGCGGCTAGCTTTGGCTCTTTGGGCGCACCCCTCGCCCCTCTCGCTCTCTCATTCATTTCCCTTTCTCGGCCCCGCGCATGGAGACTTTTCTCCGGCGCCGACCTTCACGGCCCCTTGCAGGCCACCCTCGTGGACACGCGCCGCGCTCGCGTCGGCCGGCTCCGGGCGGAGGGAACCGAGCAGCGGTCAGGAGGGAGCAGGGCCGCCCGAAGAGGAGGGAAGGGACCCACTCCGGGC